CATTCCAATATGCAGTCATGAATGGGTTTACATTATTTATACTGTAGTTTAATAGCAAATAATGAACAAACAAAACACTCACCACACTGAGTGGTGGGAGGGCTGGCTGCCAGTTGCGGGGGTCGGTGGGAGGGTAGTAGGGACTCGCAGGTGGCAGGAAACTTGAATATGATTTGGCGGTTGGGAATTTGGTGGCTGGGAATTTGGCAGCTGGGAATTAGCGAATGTGTGAAGCCCGCAAAAGCTGAAAACGTGATTGTTGAGGGAGACCTGTATATATTTTTTTTTTTTAAATTTTGGCAACCCTGACAACAAGTCTCTGAGAGGGCCTGGCGACCCCCAAAGGGTTAATGCCCTAGAAGGCCACAGGTTCCCCACAAGTCCTTGTGTTTGTTCATGTCATCTGAAACCCCTGAACTCATTGGAACATAAGTGGGATTTTACACTCGTGATTTATGCATTAACACCTGGAAAATTCTGGAGAGATTAGTCTCAAATCTGTACACCACAGTGGTAATAGAATTGTGTATGAGTGGAACAAAGCTCTGAGTAGCATCACTGAGGCTAAAACCTTGTTTAACTTTAGATATAAGTTAGCCAAGAGCATGAGTGGGTGTGGGTGGATGCGAGTTGAACTTGCCTAGCATGGGCCAGTAGGGCTGTATTTAAATATTTAACCCCTTTCACTGTTTCCCACATAGATCTACATTAGTCACACCAGTGTTGTTTATGTAGATCTCCATCTCAACCCTTTCACTCTCACAAAGATCTGTGATACTGACAAGCACCGTCATGTAAATCTGCATTTTAAGCACAGCTCCCCCAGTTATGCTGTAAGCAGAAAATCTTGCCCTAGTCATGAAAAAAAATGGGTCTGTTCTGAGTGTGCACAGTATAAAAAATCCTGACCTATGCAACATTTTTTTTTAACACATCGGATCTTTCCCACGAAGGCACGGTGACTTGAAAAAGAAGAAACACTTTCATCATTATCATTCGCTCCATCACTGCCTTGCCAGAGGTGTGCTGACACTACAGTTCAAAAACTGCACCGCATCCCCAAACCCCCCCTTCAGAGCGCAGGCACAATACTTCTCACCCCCAGGACTCAAGTCCGGCTAACTAGTTTCCTTGGATCTCTTCAAAAATGTTACTTTGCTCACACTCCAACAGAACATCAAGTCATAAAAAATCATTTGCTTCCACTCGCTCCTATCTAACATGTTCATGCACGCTTGCTGGAAGTATCAGCTGCTCACACACAAAACCTCCTTTATCTCCTCCCTCCAACCTTTACTAGGATGACCCCTACCTTGCCTCCCTTCCACTCCAGATTTATACACCCTCCAAGTCATTCTATCTTCCTCCACCTCTCTAAATGTCCAAACCACCTTAACAACCCCTCCTCAGCCCTCTGGATAATACTTTTAGAAGCCTTACATCTCCTTCTAATCTTCAAACTATGGATTCTCTGCATAATATTCACACTGTACATTGCCCTCAGACATGACATCTCAACTTCCTCCAGCCTTCTCCTTGTTGCAATATTCACCATCCATGCTTCACACCCATATAAGAGCATTGGTATCATTATACTCTCATACATTCCCCTCTTTGCTTCCATGGACAAAGTTCCTTGTCTCCACAGACTCGCCTTTTTTCCCTAATCAATTCTGATTCACCTTGTCTTTCAAAGATCTACCTGCTGACAAGTCCACTCCCAAATATCTGAACACATTTACTTCTGTCATAATCCCTCCCTCCTATCTGATATCCAATCTTTCATTATCTAGATTTTTTATCCTCATCACCCTGCTCTTTCCTATGTTCACTTTTATTTTCCTTCTTTTACATATCCTCCCAAACTCATCCACAAACCTTTGCAACTTCTCTTCAGACTCTCCCAAAAGGACAGTGTCATCAGTAAAAAGCAACTGTGACAACTCCCACTTTGTATTAGATTCTTTATCTCAATTCCACAAACCTTCCCAACATCTGAGTATTCACTTCTGCTACAACCCCCGTCTATAAATATATTGAACTAAGGTGACATCACACATCCTTGTCTAAGGCCTACTTTCTGTGGGAAATAATTTCCCTCTCTCTTACATACTCCAACCTGTGCCTCACTATCCTCATAAAAACTCTTAACTGCTTTCAGTAACATTTTACATACACTTGCAACATCTGCCACATTGCTCCCTTATCTACCTTATCATATGCCATTTCCAAATCTACCTTATCATATGCCTTTTCCAAATCCATAAAAGCAATGGAAGCCTCTTAACCCTTACCTACATGCTTCACTATAAACACTTGGTCCACACACCCCCTACCCTTCCTAAAGCCTTCTTGTTCATCTGCAATCCTGCTATCTTACTCTTAATTCTTTCAATAACAATTCACCATACATTTTACCAGGTATACTCAAGAGGCTTAATGCCCTATAATTTTTACACTCTTTTGTCCCTTTTGCCTTTTTACAAAGGAACTATGCATGCTCTTTTGCCACACCCTAGGTACCTTCCCTTCTTCCATACATTAATTAAATAAAAGAATCAACCAATCCAAAACTATATCCCACCTGCTTTTAACATTTCTGTCTTTATCCCATCACCCCCAGCTGCTTTAGCCCCTTTCATTCTACCCACTGTCTCATGAACCTCCCCCACATTCATAATTGGCTCTTCCTCACTCCTTCCCTATTTTCATCATTTAATAGTTCCTCAAAATATTCACTATCTTTCCAATGCCTCCAACTCTCCATCTAATAACTCTACTCTCCTATTTTTAATTGCCAAATCCATTCATTCCATATTATTAATCTCACTCCAATATTTTTTTATCATTCTCAGCAAAATTTGTTGATAGCATCTCACCCAGTCTCTCATTTGCTCTCCTTTTACATTCCTTCACCACTCCTTTAACCTCTCTTTTCTCTTCATGTACTCCTTCCTCCTTGTATCACTTCTACTTTGTAAAAACATCTCATATGCTAACTTTTACTCTCTTACCTCATTATTCCACCAATCCCTCTCCTTCCCTCCCACACCCACTCTCCTGTAATCACAAACTTCTGCAAAACACTCTAACATTACATTTCTAAATCTACCCCATACCTCTTCAACCTCACTGTCTACAGCTCATCTTTCTTCCAATAATATATAATGAGAAAACAAACCTCTCACCTTGTGTTTGGTTGAAAATACCAACTTTGAGGTATTTGCTATGGTGTTTTTTATGGTTTTATTGGTGGTCTCTTGGTATTAGTTGATAGAATGAAAGACATATTAGAGAAACAGAGATGATTTTAGTTAGTTGCAGACCAGAAGAAACTTGAAATAAGCCACAAATTGACAGAAATATTCAATCTTGGGGGATTTTCCTGGGGAGAGTAAAACCTCCCTACCTCCAAGTCTGTTTTATGGGTAAAGAACAAAAAGGCACAATGCCATGACTGGTAGAATTCACAAATAACCCCCACAAAGAAGAGAGGAGCTTACAATGACGTTTCGGTCTGACTTAGACCATTTACAAAGCCGCACTAACAGAAAAGGATGAGGAAGCCAGTTTAAACTAGCTGTCTCTCTCTCTGTTTATCTGTCTCTCAGTCTGTCTGTCTGTCTCTCTCAGAAAGAGCTGCTCGTGAGCCAACAGGTATTACACAGGTTTCAGAATCGTCATGTCTGAACAAGTGGAAAGATACAACTGTGGCCAAAATGTGTATCACTTGCCACAGTCATGTTTATGCCTCTTATCTACAAGCACAGTATGGTATAGTACTCTGTCTAGGTTTTTTGGGATATCCTAGGTAATTTACACTATTTATGATAACTGTATTTGTGTGTACCTGTGCCTAAATAAACTTACTTAATCCTTGATTCTGGCTCATGAGCAGCTCTCTCTGAGACAGAGACAGGCAGACAGAGATAGAGAGAGAGAAACCATACTATGGGCAGGGATAGAACCCGTGATCAAGAGTCTCAAAACTCCAGACTGTCGCATTAGCCACTGGGCCAGCTAGCCACAATAAGATTCATCCAACTAGGTATATTTCTACACCATAGGAAGGTTAGCATAGGCACCACTGTGACCACAAATGCAAGTTTTTACAGACAAATCTTCAGCTAGCTTGGCCATGACGAACTCTAGCTCAAGTCCCCTCAAAGCCGTCAACATGACTCATGAAATCGTAATGACATGATTGCAAACACACCATACCACGGGCAGGGATAGAACCTGTGATCAGTCTCAAAATACCAGACCGTCGCGTTAGCTACTGGGCCAGCTAGCCACAATATGATTCATCCAATTAGGTATATTTCTACACCATAGGAAGGTTAGCATAGGCACCACTGTGACCCCACAGTTCTATCCCTGCCTGTGGTATGGTTTGTTTGCAATCGTATTACGATTTCGTGAGTCATAGACAAAGATAAAGAGAGACAGACAGACAGCAGCCAACCAGCCAGCCAACTAGCCAACCTAACATGTATTACACATGTTGCAGCATTCTCTCTCTCTACTTAGGCCATAGGTGATAGGACATTCTGGCAGAATGACACTACCAGTTGTATCAAAATTGAAAAGATGTGGCACAAATGTTGCATATGGGTTATTATCTTGGTTTTTTGATATTTCCTCGACCACTTGTGACCACATCCATCTCAAAGCCACTAAACTTTCCTCCTAAAAGGAGTGTGTTAATACAATATGATTTTAGTGAATCCCTAGGGTTTGCCATGCTGGTTGTTCTAGCTGGTGCTCAATGGAACTGTTGCTCCCACAAGGTACTAAGTGGTCCTAGATTTAATATTGCGCACACTGAGTGTTAAGACCCACTCTATACTGCCTAGGCCTATCAAGCCTCTGGCACCAAATTTGAAGGCAGGAAAAATAGTGCGCTGATCGACGTCATAAGCACTAGCAGTAAAACATAGATCAACATTTGGAGAGTTAAAAGGTTAGATTAGAGATACTCAAAATTTATAGTAACTTACCGCCAATACAGCCCGTCCATTTTTAACAACATAATACAATGAATTTTCATCTTCTGCCATGACTTCAGTGATTGGTTTGCGGCCTGGACGTCCTCGCTTGCGTGGTGGCTCTCCTACAATCTGGTCGCCTATCTTCTTAATGGTAGCTAATTTAAAGAAAAAAATGAGTAATGTAAATACATGCATACAAGTTTGTCATAGCATTTTAGATGGTGTAAAAAAAAAAATTATACAGTGTTGTACAATGCATACAAATGCAGAACCCTAAAATATAAAATAACATGGTACTGCAATACAATGGTCCCTTAAGTTGCGATACTAATCTGTTCCAGATTAGTAACTCTTACTATATCTTCCAGAAATGCAATTCTTACCATACCTTTGATCTGAGTCACAGATAAAACTTGCAGGCACTGTATCACTCTTCATCTACTTCTCTCTTATTCACAAAAATAAGTCTTTACATCTTTCTGAAAATTTCCGACTTTTTTCACTGGCTACGATTTGTCAGCCACTTTATTATCCTTTATAATGTCTTTTTGCTTGATATTATATCTCAATTTTTTTTTGTCACAACTCAAATCTAAATTCTTTTATGAGAAGAAATCGTAACTCAAAATTATAACTCCAGCCATTGTAACTCAAGGGGCCATTGTACAGATTTTAGTGAAACTCAAACATTTACAGTAATGAAAGACATTAACCCTTTGACTGTCGCAACCCCCAATCCTGAGGTGTCTCCTGGTGTCGCAAAATTAAAAAAAAAAAAAAATTATTTTTTCTTATGAAATGATATAGAATCTTTTCCCAATTGTAATGATACCAAAAAAACGAAATTTGATGGAAAACTGACGGAATTATGCTCTCGCGAAGTTAGCGACCTCGGCGCTGTTTACAAATCGGCGATTTCGCCCACTTTGAGCCCTATTTTCGGCTAATTCCATTGTTCCAGTCGCCCAAACTCATAGCTATTTCTTTAGAACTCCATTTTTTTCTATCGATTGAGTACAAGAAACTGCCCATTTACCGATTTCAACTACCTACTAATGTGGTCAGAAATTTGCAATTTGGCCAATTTCACGAAAACTAAAAAATATAACAATTTCAAAATAAGGTCCAGAATGAACAATGCAGACATTCCAGGCTCTAAAATAACATTTTCTTTGCTCATCAGTCATGTCTCCAGGCCCCTCTGATATTACTCTTGCTTTCTATTTTGAATTTTTATTCAAACAAAAAATATTAGACTTACTATTATGCAGACTACTGCAATGCTGTAATAACTGTATAAATAACATCAACCCATTCATGACTGCATATTAGAATGGCTAGTTGGACATTTATTGGAAAATGGCATCATTTGTTTACTTTTGAACATTGGCAAAAATCAAACATTTCCCCTACTTTGAGCTCCATTTCTAGGTTCTTTTTATAGTAAAATCAATCAAAAACACCACTATTTCTGTAATATGTTTTCCATTCTATCAAATGAGACCAAGAAAACGAGAATACAACCATAAATACTATACGAAAATAGACCACAAAGTCGGCATTTTAATTAAAAAAAACGGTCGGAGTTTTTTTTTCTCATTATGCACTGCGTGCCCCAGGATTTTTTTTATATGGTGCACACTGACCACAAAGACCCATTCTCTCACATGTGGGCCTACCAGCTTTCTCCTGCTTGATTTGAAGCCGCTAGAATTTATGAGTATATATACGTCAAACACGGCACCTCGTAAAACGTATATATACGGCCGCGACAGTCAAAGGGTTAAAATTTAGTGATAAAATGAAACTCTAACCACAAGAGAATTAAAAACAAATAAGTAGGTGTTGATGTAATAGTAGTAGGACATAATTAAATTAAAAAATGAAAAGGAACATGTCAACATTTATAATTTTGTTATAAAAGTGTAATGGTAATTTAAGAGGGTTACATAAATTATTTCAGGGGGAAAAACATTTTATCTGAATTTATTAGTTTAATTTTTTTTAACTCATCTGGCAAGTTATTCCACATTTCTACCCTGCCCCCCCCTTTTTTCTCGAGCTTCCACAGAGGTTCAGGCAAATAAATGCAAGCAATGCCAAAGAGACATCTACTTTGAGTAAGATTACCATGTGTTCTTTAGTTTTCCATCGAGTGTTTTTTTTAAGTCAGCATCAGCATTACAGTGCAGTGTTAAGATGTGTAGTGAGCAGTAGTATGTGACATTTACTTTTAGCAGAAATAGTAGTGAAGGAGGAGGTAGCAGAGGAAGAGGAAGCAGAAGAGGAGGCAGGGGAGGAGGAAGAGGAATAGTAGGAGGCATTGACAGGAGGAGGAGGCAGCGACAGGAGGAGGAGGCGGCAGCAACAGGAGGAGGAGGAGGCAGCGACAGGAGGAGGAGGAGGCAGCGACAGGAGGAGGAGGAGGCAGTGACAGGAGGAGGAGGAGGCAGTGACAGGAGGAGGAGGAGGAGGAGGAGGAGGAGGAGGAGACAGCGACAGGAGGAGGAGGAGGCAGCGACACGAGGAGGAGGAGGCAGCGACAGGAGGAGGAGGAGGCAGCGACAGGAGGAGAAGGAGGCAGCAACAGGAGGAGGAGGAGGCAGCGACAGGAAGAGGAGGAAGCAGCGGCGGAGGAGGCGGCAGCGGTGGAGGAGGAGGCAGAAGTGGCGGAGGAGATGGCAGAGGAGGCAGCGGCAGAGAAGGAGGTGACGGCAGCAGCAGTATTGAGGACATATCAAATTTTGGCGAGTTTACCTACAATTATTTCTATTTTATTTTTAAAGTGAGCAGGAATTTTTTCTTTGACCTCAATGGACATCTTCCTCCAGGGTAAGGTGACCCAAAGAAAGAAATGGATTAACCATGACTCACGAAATCGTAATGGCACAATTGCAAACAAACCACGGGCGGGTTCTATCCCTACCCGTGGTATGGTTTGTTTGGATTAACCATCATTTATTCACTTGCTGTTTTGCCAGAAGTGTCCTAGACATGAGCACAAAATTTTAATTAATTATACATGTCTATGAGCCAACCTAGAAACTTCTCATTCTTTTCCTCTAGTTTGTATTCATTCATTTTAATGTCTGTGGGCATGGGTCATGCCTAAAAGCTACAGAAATGTTATGTAATACAAGTAGGTGAGTGAAAACAGGCTAAAAGTATTATCCAGAGACCTGTGGAGAGATTGTTGACGTGGTCTGGACATTTCTGTGTGCAAGGGGCCTGGACATCCAGCAGGCGTGTATGAGTGTGTTAGATAGGAGTAAGTGGAGACAAATGGTTTTTGGGACTTCACAAGCTGCTGGAGTGTGAGCAAGGTAACAGTTTGTGAAGGGATTCAAGGAAACTGGTTAGCTAGACTAAAGTCCTAGAGGTGGGAACAACAGTGCCTGCAATCAGGAGGGGTGGAGATATTTGCAGTAACAATGTAATGGGGTGAGAGATATGGTAAGTAGTGTAAAATAAACCCAGTGAAAAGACAATATAAAAATGCTTCATCAACATCCATAAACAGCAACTAGATACGCTACCAGCAGATATTGGAAATATTGCCAAAACGTGTGGAAGTCTTCAAGAGTAAACTAGACTGTGGTAGATATATGGGCCAGTGTGCTGCCAACAGCAACAGCCTGGCTGGCCAAGAAAGTAACGGAAAAGCCTGGCTGTAGGCAGGGTTGTGGGAACAGGAATATATCACACGATAAAAATGTCTAGAAGTCACAACTGACCAGAAAACCAACTTAAACAGTGAGACATTTTTATGCAATATTAGCCCTCTTTAACCCTTTGAGGGTCGACAGGCCCTCTCTGAGACTCGTTCTCAGGGTCGGCCAAATTTAAAAAAAAAAAAAAAAAAAAATCTTATGAAAAGACAGAGGATCTTTTCCCAATCATAATGACACCAAAAGTATGAAATTTGATGGAAAACTTACGGAATTATGCTCTCGCGAAGTTAGCGGTCTCAACGATGATTACGCATTGGCGATTTTGCCCACTTTGAGCCCCATTTTCGGTCAATTCCACTGTACTTGTCGACAAAAAACATGAATATTTCGCTAGAACTCCATTTTTTCTATCGAATGAGTGCACGAAACCACCCATTTACCAATTTCAACTATCCTGTACAGCGGTCAGAATTTAGCAATTTTGCCAATTTCACACAAATTTCAAAAGATGCCAATTTCCGAATAGGGTCCAGAATAAACAAAAAAGACATTCCTGGCACTAAAATGACATTTCCTCTGTTCATTAGTCACGTCTCAAGGCCCCTCTTACATTCTTTTGCTTTCCACTTTGAATCTTTATTCTCACAAAAAATAGAAGATTTACTGTTATGCAGACTACTGCATTAGTGTAAAAAATGGTATAAATAATATTGGCACACTTGCAAAAGAATATTAGACTCACTAGATGACGTGCATTGGATGCTTGGCATGATTTGTTTACTTTTGAACTCTGGTAAAAATCGAACATTTCTGCAACTTTGAGCTCAATTTCAAGGTACAGTGGACCCCCGCATAGCGACTTTAATCCGTGCAAGAGGGCTCATTGTTATGCGAAATGATCGGTATGCGAATGAATTTTCCCCATAAGAAATAATGGAAATCAAATTAATCCGTGCAAGACACCCAAAAGTATGAAAAAAAAAAAATTTTACCACATGAAATGTTAATTTTAATACACACAAACTGAAAAAGGCATGCACAATTACATGACACTTACTTTTATTGAAGATCTGGTGATGATTGATGGGATGGGAGGAGGGGAGAGAGAGTGTTAGTGTTTAGAAGGGGAATCCCCTTCCATTAAGACTTGAGGTGTCGAGTCCTTTTCTGGGGTTACTTCCCTTCTTCTTTTAATGCCACTAGGACCAGCTTCAGTCACTGGACTTCTTTCGCACAACATATCTGTCCATAGTGGCCTGTACCTCTCGTTCCTTTATGACTTCCCTAAAGTGTTTCACAACATTGTCAGTGTACAGGTTGCCAACACGGCTTGCAATAGCTGTGTGAGGGTGATTTTCATCCATGAAGGTTTGCACTTCAAGCCACTTTGCACAGATTTCCTTAATCTTTGTAGTAGGCAACTTCTTCAATTTCTCTCTCCCCTCCTCTGAACCAGTTTCCTCAGGTCTGGCCTCTTGCTGTTGAAGTTGATCTATCAGCTCATCAGTGGTTAGTTCTTCATTGTCCTCCTCCACCAACTCTTCCACATCATCCCCACTAACCTCCAACCCTAAGGACTTTCCCAATGCCACAATGGATTCCTCAACTGGCATAATCCTCTCAGGGTTAGCCTCAAACCCTTCAAAATCCCTTTTGTCTACACATTCTGGCCACAGTTTCTTCCAAGCAGAGTTCAAGGTCTTCTTAGTCACTCCCTCCCAAGCCTTACCTATAAGGTTTACACAATTGAGGATATTAAAGTGATCTCTCCAAAAGTCTCTTAGAGTCAGTTGAGTTTCTGAGGTCACTACAAAGCACCTTTCAAACAGAGCTTTTGTGTACAGCTTTTTGAAGTTTGCAATAACCTGCTGGTCCATGGGCTGCAGGAGAGGAGTGGTATTAGGAGGCAAAAACTTCACCTTAATGAATTTCATGTCCCCATAAAGTCACTCTGCCACGTCTGTAGGATGACCAGGGGCATTGTCTAACACCAGGAGGCACTTAAGTTCTAATTTCTTTTCAGTTAGGTAATCTTTCACATTGGGGGCAAATGCATGGTGTAACCAGTCATAGAAAAAGTCCCTAGTGACCCATGCCTTACTGTTTGCCCTCCACAGCACACACAAATTCTCCTTGAGGACATTCTTTTGCCTGAACGGTCTGGGAGTTTCAGAGTGATACACTAATAAAAGGCTTCACTTTGCAATCACCAGTAGCATTGGAACACATCAACAAAGTAAGCCTGTCTTTCATAGGCTTATGTCCTGGGAGTGCCTTTTCCTCCTCAGTAATGTAGGTCCTGCTTGGCATTTTCTTCCAAAACAGGCCTGTTTCATCACAATTAAACACTTGTTCAGGTTTCAGTCCTTCACTGTCTATGTACTCCATGAATTCCTGCACATATTTTTCAGCTGCTTTGTGGTCCGAACTGGCAGCCTCACCATGCCTTATCACACTATGTATGCCACTACGCTTCTTAAATCTTTCAAACCAACCTTTGCTGGCCTTAAATTCACTCACATCATCACTAGTTGCAGGCATTTTTTTAATTAAATCCTCATGCAACTTCCTAGCCTTTTCGCTTATGATCGCTTGAGAAACGCTATCTCCTGCTAGCTGTTTTTCATTTATCCACACCAATAAGAGTCTCTCAACATCTTCCATCACTTGCGATCTCTGTTTCGAAAACACAGTTAAACCTTTGGCAAGAACAGCTTCCTTGATTGCCTTTCTGTTGCCCACAATAGTAGCGATGGTTGATTTGGGTTTCTTGTACAACCTGGCCAGGTCGGCGACACGCACTCCACTTTCATACTTATCAATGATCTCTTTCTTCATCTCTATTGTAATTCTCACCCTTATTGCTGTAGGGTTGGCACTAGAAGCTTTCTTGGGGCCCATGGTCACTTATTTGGCAGATAAAATCACCAAAAACACTAATAATACGAAATGTTCCGATTGTATGCTTGGATGTTACCGCGGAGGCAGGCTGGTAAACAATGCCACCAGCGGCACATGTGAGGCTGGCTAAGGGCGCACATTGGACGCGTCTCGGACGAAGAGCGGTGAGCGGGTTTTTGAGCGGTATGCGAGGCAAAATTTTTGCGATAAAAGCGAGCGGTATGCGGATTGTACGTTATGTGATGGCGACGGTATGCGGGGGTCCACTGTACTTTTCATTGTAAAACCAGTCAAAATCATCTCAATTTCTGTAATATGTCTTCCATTCTATAAAATGAGACCAAGAAAACTAGAAAACAACAATAAATACCATACGAAAATATAGTGCAAAGTCGCTGTTTTATTCCAAAAAAAAACGGTCAGTTTTTTTTTTTCCTCATTATGAACTGTGTGCTGCAGGATTTTTTTTATACTATGCACACTGACCACATAGACCCATTCTTTCATATGTAGGCCTACCAGCTTTCTCCCATTAGATTTGAGGGCGCTAGAATTTAGGCGTACTAGTACGTCAAAAACCCTGGGTCGTAAGCCGTACTAGTACGGCCGAAACCCTCAAAGGGTTAAAGTACGTATTCAGCTACATGGATGTAGAAATCTTAAAAAAGCTGTTCATAACAACAATATATGTTAGACCAACATTAGGTAAGAGATGGCTTCAGATAACAAGTGTGAAGTAAGAAGTACAGACTAATACAATGTTTACCAAGGATACATTTTGCCTGAGGAGCATTTCCAATTGAGCTAATCATCATCTTGGTTCCCACAATTTACAAGGATAAATTACTAGCCAGTTTCCCAATATTTCTATGTTGTAGGACTATAAAGTATCCCTTAATACAACACAAAATTAAATTCCAATCTGAGTAATAATTTTGGATATTTATTTACTTTTAATTTTTTCCCACTCACCAATTCTGCTGCGACCTCTGCCTCTGCCTCTCCCTCGAATAGATATTGTCAGTCGAGGTATGGGTTCATAATTTTGTGGAGGCTGTTGTTCATCTTCATCATGGGGCTCTGCATCAGAATCACCATCATGATCCATTTCCTCTTCTTGCTCCTCAGGATCCATATCAGGTTCAGGTTCAGGCTCTGGTTCAGGCTCGAGCTCAGGTTCAGGCTCGGGCTCAGGCTCAGGCTCAGGCTCGGATTCAACATGTGGCTAGCGATGAAACATAATATTAGTAAAAAATAATAAGAATAATAATTTTGGGGTCGCTGCCTAGAAGAATAATAATTAATAAAATGCATAAAACATTAAAGTGATAATAAAAGTACTAGTGAAAAATAATAAGTTATGATAATTTTGTTTGAGGGAGATAACTTCCCATTAAAAGTAGGTCTTAGACAGGGATGTGTAATGTAACCATGGTTGTTTAACATATTTATAGATGGGGTTGTAAAAGAAGTGAATGCTAGGGTGTTAGGGAGAGGGTTGGGATTAAATTATGGGGAATCAAATACAAAATGGAAGTTAAAGGACACAAGTGCAACTAATGTGACATTTTATTGTGGCAACGTTTCGCTCTCCAGGAGCTTTATCAAGCTTGATAAAGCTCCTGGAGAGCAAAACATTGCCACAACAAAATGTCACATTAGTTGCACTTGTGTCCTTTTACTTTACATATTGTCGGTAATTCTACCAACTTTATTACAAAATGGAAGTTGACACAGTTACTTTTAGCTGATTATACTATGGTTATGGAAGACTCCAAAGAAAAACTGCAAAGGTTAGTGGATGAGTCTGGGAGGGTATGTAAAGGCAGAAAGTTGAAAGTGAACATAGGTAAGAGTAAGGTGATGAGGGTATCAAATGATTTAGATAAAGAGAAATTGGATATCACATCTAAGGGAGTATGGAAGAAGTAAACGTGTTCAGATATTTGGGAGTTGGCTTGTCAGCAGATGGGTTTATGAAGGATGAGGTTAAACATAGAAATGCTGAAGGAAAAAGAGTGAGTAGTGTGTTGAGGTATCTGTAGAGACAAAAACCATTATCCACGGAGGCAAAGAAGGGAATGTATGAGAGTATAGCGGTACAAGCACTCTTATATGGGTGTGAAGCATGGGCAGTCAATGCTTCAGCGAGGAGGAGGTTTGTGTGTTTGTTACCATTTTGTCCTAGGCACATGTCGATTAGACACTAGGCCTGTTTTATCGTGTGTGTGTGTGTGGTGTGTGTTGTGTGTTTGTTACCATTTTGTCCTAGGCACATGTCGATTAGACACTAGGCCTGTTTTATCGGTGTGTGTGTGTGTGTGTGTGTGTGTGTGTGTGTGTGGTGTGTGTGTGTGTTGTGTGTGTGTATGTGTTGTGTGTATGTGTGTGTGTATGTATGTGTGTGTATGTATGTGTGTATGTGTATATATGTGTGTGTGTGTGTGTATGTGTATGTGTGTATGTGTGTGTGTGTGTATGTGTTTGTGTGTGTATGTGTGTGTATGTGTGTGTATGTGTGTGTATGTGTGTGTACATGTGTGTATGTGTGTGTGTATGTGTATGTGTGTGTGTATGTGTGTGTGTATGTGTGTGTGTATGTGCGTGTGCGTGCGTGTCTCCTCCTCCTCGTCCTTCGCATTTCTTACTTAACGATAATTAAAGATAAAGACCTACACAGACCTGTTTAAGGTACAGTGGACCCCCGGTTAACGAACTTTTTTCATTCCAGTAGTATGTTCAGGTGCCAGTACTGACCGAATTTTTTCCCATAAGGAATACTGTGAAGTAGATTAGTCCATTTCAGACCCCCAAACATACATGTACAAACACACTTACATAAATACACTTACATAATTGGTCGCATTTGGAGGTGATCGTTAAGCGGGGGTCCACTGTATTTCCATCTTATACTTCTAGTATGTTCTGGTATATGTAGGTGCGCGCATGTGTTAATTTTAATGTTTTTTTTGCACACGTGTAATATAAGTACTTTCACTATGTCTGCTGATTTTGACAGTTTTATCACTGATACCCGAGAATACCGATAGTTTGGTGCAGCGGCGGCGGCAGCAGCGGCAGCAGCAGTAATTTTTACGTATACTACAGTTTTTTTTTTTATATAAAATTGGATGACAATTAAGAGTACAAATGGAGAGGCCTGGTTGGCAAGCTTGAACCTATCTTCAGAATAGTATAACATAAAGGCATCAAAAAAAATTGCAGGCACGTATATACAAAGACATTTAACGAGTTAAGTAGAACAGAACTAATTCTAGTGAATATATACCTAACAGCAGATTAAATTCAACCAAATATATTCTCAGGTTCATTTTTTTTTTTTTTACATTATGTGACACTCAGTACAATATATTGAAGCAGCAGCGCTCCTAAGGCGAAACCAACACACTAATTAAAGGCTACTTACAAATTATTTGACTACAGTGTGTGTTTGTGTGAGGGTGTGTGTTGTGTGTGGGTGTGTGTTGTGGTGTTGTGTGAGGTGTGTGGTGTGTGGTGGTGTGAGGTGTGTTTGTGTGTGGGGGGTGTTATGTGGGGGGTGAGGTGTGTTATGTGTGGGTGTGAGGTGTGTTGTGTGGGGTGTGAGGTGTGTTGTGTGTGGGGTGTGGGTGTGTGTGTTGTGTGGGGGCATGTGAGGTGTGTTGTGTGGGGTGGGTGATGTGTTGTGTGTTGTTGTGTGTGTTGTGTGTGTTGTGTGTGTTGTGGTGTTGTGTGATGTTGTGTGTGTGTTGTGTGTGATGTGTGTGTTGTGTGTGTTGTGTGGGGTGTGTGTTGTGTGGGGTGTGTTTGTGGGGTGTGTGTTGTGTGTGTGTGTAGTTGTGTGGATTGTGTGTTGTGAGGGGTGTGTGTTTGTCGGGGTGTGTGTTGTGTGGGGTGTGTGTTGTTGTGGGGTGTGTGTTGTGTGGGGTGTGGTTGTGTGGGTTGTGTGTTGTGTGGGGTAGCTGTGTTGTGTGGGCGTCGTGTGCTTGTGTGGGGTGTGTGTGTTGTGGGGTGTGGGGTTGTGTGGGGTGTGTGTGTGGGGGGTGTGTGTGTGTTTGTGGGGTGTGTGTTGTGTGGGGGTGTGTGTTGTGTGGGGTGTGTGTTGTGTGGGGTGTGTATTGTTGTGGGTGTGTATTGTGTGGAGTGAGTGTGTGATGGTTGTGGTGTGTGCGGTTGCTTGGGGGCGAGTGGCGGGGAGTGTGTGTGTGGTGCTGAGTGGGCGGGGTGTGTGTGTTGGGGGAACGTGGGTAGGGTGCTTGTGGGGGTTATTGGGGTTTGTGGGGGTGGAGGTATGGGTGTTTGTGAGGGGGTGGAAGGTATGGGTGTTTGTGAGGGGGTGGAGGTATGGGGTTTGTGGGGGTGGAGGTATGGGTGTTTGGGGGGGTGGGGGTATGGTTTTTGTTAGGGGTGGGGGTATGGACGTTTTTTGGGGTACGGGGTATGGGGTGTTTGTGGGGGGGGGGGTGGGTAGGGGTTGTGTGGGGATGGGGGGTATGGGTGCTATGGGGGTGGTGTTATGGGTTGTCTGTGGGGGAGCGGTTATGGGTGTTGTCTGGGTGTGGGGTTATGGGTGTTTGTGGGGGGTGTGGGTGTGGTCGGGGTTGTGGATTTGGGTGTTTTGTGGGGAGAAGGGGGGGGGCGTGCTGCAACTCTGAGAAGTCTCCCTTCGATCCCGTTTGGGGAGGGGAACCTGTTCCATTGGATTTCACCCTGTACTCTCAATGATGTCCATCGTGTCAAAATTACGCAATCAAGTTCGGTAGTCAACGATTTTCGATCCTTGATCTTCAGGAACCCTTAAAAGCGGACCTGGCCAGATCACGTTCTGTAGCATCATTTTCCCTCAAGAATGCCTTCCTGTCGGCCTGCACCACTAGCGGACGATTTAAGCGACAACAATACTCCACAACCTCCACTGCCATGAAAAAATCTCCATGAACTTGGTTGTACAATCTCTAATTCTCCATGCATGAAGGCGAAAAACGTTTCTGTTTTCGTCAAACGACTCGACAGTATCATCCGGTCCTTTCTCACTGAAGAACCAAGGAACAATCCCATCGAGAACCAGAATGCCTGCGACACGATGGGATACCGTTACCAAAATACCAAATGCCTCTCCATTGATTAAGATCACGTTTTCCACGGACACTGCAATGGGTTCCCAAGCCCATTGCTGACGAACCGGACTTCTTTTTACCATTTCACCCTAATCAAGGCGAAACCTGAGAATTTCAAACGTATCTCCACATACTGGACTTGCTACTCATTTAACGACGCTACAAAGGACTACCCCTAAGAATAGGAAATTTTGCGCCAACTATGGAAGTGAAGGACCACGACTATAAGGCCACTGCCCACTCCGAAAAGAAGTTATGACCAAGGGAAAATACAGAGGAAACTAATCTCTCTAGATCGCCCCACCGATGCTGAAATCACTAAGCTTCAGTCTGATACTTATTAGATTCTTCAAGCCACTTCAGCAGACTTATTACCCTGCAACTCACTGTCTCCATGACGGCGTCTTTCTAAGGTGGCTGTACTGCATGATGTATGCACGTGCACTTTGCAAATGCAGCAAAATCCGGCATTTTAATACCACCTTAAACGAACTATTCCATCTGAACAACATGCCTGCCTTCGGATTTCCAGGGCTCCACACTTCAGCCGACACCTCAAGATCTTCCCAATGTTGTTGTACTTTACTGCCACTGCAGACCTGTCTCCTTTTGCCAAAACAAACCGTTCTCGACGACTATTCTAAAGACTTCCCCGCCGACGCTGGATTATTTTCTCCTCCACCATCGCCTCCCAACCTACACCACAACACACTCTCACTGTTCCTGCCAACCACAGTCACTGCCAGCACCATGTAGGACTCGCCTATGAATCTGCTTTCAAAGAAGATATTGATGACTCCAGTAAATTTCTCATGGGAAAACCTTACCTTCTACACTTCTCCATCAAATGCTGGACACCATGACTTACACTGAGTTAAAAGGCTCAGCCAACTGTGTCCCCTTGTTGCTGTGCCCAATCTCTGGACAATCCTGTCTTTGGCCACCTTTGTTCAATTCCTCTCAGTATTTTTGTATGTCGTTTATCATGTCCCCCTATCTCACTGTCCTCCAGTGTCGTAGGTTGATTTCCCTTTAACCTCTCCTCGTAGGAATACCTCTTAGCCTGGGGGACTAGTCTTGTTGCAAACCTTTGCACTTTCTCTAGGTT